TGTGTAAGGCCAAGGTCAAAATTTGTAAAGAGATTGTAAACATTGGATAATTTAATTTTGGTTGGTTGTTGTTTTTTTGGTTTCTTTTGAGCTTGCTCGCTGCTCGCTGCCTCATTTGCATTTGATTTGTGTTTGACACGTCTTATGGATTTTTCTTTGACAAGTGCCTGTCAGTGGCTGGAGGCCCTCACGGCGCACGACCCACATTGTAGCCACATTATTATTATTGTTGTTGCTGTTGTTGTTGTTGTTGGTGCTGCTGTTGCTTGTGCTGTTGTTGGTCAGCTCCAGTTGAACCGCTGCACAACGCACATTTGACGTGCCGTTAATTGTTTCACGACTCGATTCAGAGCAGTAGCCGGTTTCCGGCCCGTCGACAAAGATTTTAACAGCATTTGCGTGACAATAGCCACCCAGAGGCATTATGAATGGTTCACTCCATATGTACTATATACATAAATATATTTATATATACATATATGAATATATGTATATATGCATATATGCGTGTTACTATCTATACATTTGTCAATGATTAGAGATCTGTGATCTGCTTGGGCTTTGTAAATATTTTAATTGAATTTTAATAGCCCAACAAAATGTTTTAGTGCACCTTGATATTATGGAAATCTTTTATGGAAGACAAAACAAAATCAAATCAATTGCAAGCGCTTATGGGCCACCCGCCCTACATCTTTATCCATCAATGTTATTCTCTTCAACAATGGCTTAACTAATAAGCCGTTGTTCACAAGCGCCGGGAATATGCTCATAAATAATTGCCAATTTTTCGGCTAATGTTTTGTTTTTTGTTTTTGTTTGTGTTTTTATTATTTTTTATTGTTATTTATTTTCTGCCGCTAAACGATTTTGTTCGCGCTTCGTTAATAATTTGTAGTTTGCAGCTGCCAATTCTCATTGTTGTTGTTGGGAAGAGCTACTTAGAAATGATATTGATTTATTCGCAATCACTTGAACGCTCAGAAGGTTAATTGTGGTTAAACATCTATAAAAAACAATTGATTAATTTGCAGGTAATGCGCTGCAATTGTGCACAATGAGGCGCGTGAGCGTTTCTATTTCTGTTAATGGAGCAGAGGTAGAGCGGAGCATAATTTGCTTGATATATCGGTTAATAACAATTCGATAAGGAAGTGGGCTGCTTTCATAAATCGAAATAAGCTGAACTGTGAATAGAGTACAAAAATAGCCATTTAATGGCTATCGAGGCCTTGTCTCCACTTTATAAGATTGGAGATTAGAGATTAGATACGAATTACTTATCATTAATAAAATACTTTTTCATATTATACAGTCGAGTCGGTCGATCAAATTATCAAAAATTATCCAGAAAGAATTTATTTCAAGGGGATAGAATTTTTGTTTAACAAATTCGACTCATTTTCATTTCATTTTCATTCCGATTTTCGATTAAAAATATGTCAGATCTAGAGATCTAAAGCTTAGGCCTTGCACACCTCAGCCTTTATGCCCATATCATAATCAAGCAGCAACAATATTAACTTTATCCTATGCTTTGAATCGATTTGAACCTTTAATTAAAAATAAAATATTTTCATTAAATTAGTTTTGCTTGTAAGTTCTCAGACTTTGATGTATATTTTTACAATAAACTTTACACAATAATATTTCCACAAAATTCTAAAAATGTTAACAATATCGCAGACTGTTGTTCCAAACCACACCATAACCGAGCATTGTCTCAACTCCTAAAGACAATGCTAAATCCGATTTCTTAACAAAGCCCAAAAACTGAAACATGATAAGCAATCTGCTGCTTGTTAATTTGTAATTCAATTTTATTTATATTCAGCTGTTAAAGCTTTATCGTCAAATTAGTTGAGGCATCTTCTAGCTGACACAATCTTAGGCTCTCAAACTTTGTGTGTGTGTGTGCTTCAGATAAACGTGTGAGAGTTGCTCATCAAAGGGACAAGGTCAACAGATTTCTGTAATATCCGTAACGGCGAAGTATACAAAATTTACAACAAATTTGTTGAGTCAATATAAATGTAAAATGTATTTATAATTAGTCTTTAATAAATTGCTAATCTAAATATAAATAAAAATAGAGTAAGAATTATGAATAGAAATATGTATGAAAATTAATGTAAATTATATGATAAATAATATTATTCATAAAAATAATTTGTTTTTGGGTGTAAATACTAGAATCAAAAATATATTTAAATAATATTATGTAAACAAAAATAGGGCTGTAGTATAGGAATTTATTTGTTTTGTAGTTTTTGTTGTAGATAGACTTTAGTAATACAAATTTTAAATGAAAATAAATAATGCATAGGCCTATAGCATTTCAACTCAGTATGGCCATACTCTTTTTATAGAATGTCTAATAGAATTCTGTATGACAATACAGATCAATAATATATCTACTTTAAGGGCTCTGCCACATTATTATTAATTAATAATGTTAATAGAAGCTGTTATATCTGAGCATTTCCGCTTATATTATTTTATTATATTTTACTCGAGTAGCTTTTCATTCATTCATAATCATTTACTATGTTCGAAAAAAGTTCAGTTTCGAAACAGCTCAGAAACCAACCATAGCTGAAACACCAACAGCTGAACGAAAGCTTTACTCTATTCAAATTCCGGTGCATACGTTTAGGCTTGAGCTAAGCCGGACTTGGCTCAGCTCAATCCGAAACAGACGAAATATGCTCAATCATGATTGAGCTAACGATTTTCATGCGTGGTTGGCTTTGCAGCATATTTTTTGTTTGTTGCCTGCTGCTGTCCGCTCATATGAACGGACTATTTCATATAAGTTATAAGCCAGGCCCGTCTACACAAATCATCGTACGCAATGTTTGTTTGTGTGTTAAAAAAATGTAAAGTGCGTTGCTGATTGCCGACTGCCGACTGTTGGCTGTTGGCTGTATTCTGCTGGCTTCTGTTGTTGTTTTTTTTTTTTTTTTTGCCACTTGTGGTGTTTGCTTGGCCAGCCCGAATTGTGGAAATCCACGGAATTCTGTGCCAAGGGCAATTTCGCCTTTGATTGATTTACAAGAGGCGTTGCCCTGCGAAAAATCTGATTTCGTTTGTTGCTCGCAGCGGGCCTACGTTGCGTATACGTAATTAGACATGACGAAACGGTTCTGCCACGCTATCTGGCATATCGATTAAGTCATAATTATAATTTGTCAGCTAATGAAGTTGATTAGCTACATGACTCAAAACTAAGAAGCAAGATTAATATGCGGGAAGATAAAAAAGATTCTGCCGCTGGCCCAAGATCGATGGATCACATAGATGATACATCGGCAGCCCGAAGAAATGTTTTTTTTTTCCAATAAGCCAATTTTTGTTTACTGCATTGTATTAAAGTTATTCATTTACTGTTCAAATTATTTACATTTGCGTGTTAAGCGCTGGCTGACTACGCCGGCTTATGAATAACTTGTTTGGGAAATTACACCCGGATGGACAGCGTCATAGTGGGGCTTTGTCTCTAGCTGTGCTCCGGCTTGGGATACCTGGTGTCGTTACATGGAATTTGATAAGGTCATTTGATGAACTAATGAACTTGTTCTGCGCCGAGCACAGACAATGAATCTCCAAACTAATCAGCACAATGCGTGCCGAATCTTTTGACATGCCGCAAAAATCTCAATCGTTGTAATCATAAATCAAGCTAAAACGCCAGCTACGAGCTGGCTGTCTGCCACAAGCTGCAGCTGCAGCCACAAAGAGACGTCAAACTAACAGGTAGGAATACCAGAAGCGAGCATACACGACCGCCAGATACCTAGCGCTGTGACAACAACGCATGTGGTTGGTTCATATGATAAAAGATTACGTATACGTGCCGTAGTTCAAGTCGTAATTGAAGGCTACTAAAAAAATCGATATTTAATTTTCGAAAATAAACATTGATCGATTGTATTAAGTTCTCATTAAAAAGTATATATTGGAAATATCAGATATATGAGTTTATTCCATATGGTGATTTCTTTCTGCCAATTCTCAGCTCAACACTTCACTCAGCCCACCCCACTTAAGTCCATCAAACTCCATTCTTGACCATTCTGCACAGGGTATCAGCAAAATACATAAATCACACCCGAGAGAGACACTCGTTAAGACGGTAATCAAAAGCAATCCAGTGGGTCGCGGCGAAGGGCGCGTGTCTTCGTCAGCTCCAGCATCCCAGCTCTGTGTCCAGCTGCAGCTACAGCCGTATCGAAGGCCAAATGCCACTAATGCTTATGTAATTATGTATGTGCGAGTGTTGGAGTGTGTGACAAAGCCCTGTGGCAGCTAGAGCATTGCACAACCAGTTGCAGTTGCAGTTGCAGTTGTAGTTTTTTTTCTTCTTTTTTTTTATTTTTTTTTTTGGCAACAATTTATTGACTAAGCGCCTGACATATGAACAGATTGACTAAGTGACTGAATGACTGATGGACTGATAGACTGATTGACTGATGGACTGCTGGACTGATTGACTGATGAACTGGCTGACAGCCGGTGGGAATTGAGTCGTCGTCATTGCCGTCGTCGCCGTCAGCAGCATCATTGAGAGTGACACAAGTGATTCGCTCGACTCGCGTCTATTGATTTTGTCGCCTTGAATGCGTGCCCATGTATGGCGCTAACAGCTTGCACCACTGCACCACTGCGCCAGAGCACCACTCTAGTGCTATTTGTGTAGCTGTGTATTTATGGATTTACAAAGCAATTTTGATAAACATTTAACTGTTTGGGTTTCCGCCTATGCATTGCCATTTTTGTGGCAACTATTGCACCGCTGATTGAGTTGACCCGACCCGCTGCACCACTACAACAACTGCCGGCCGGCGGCTGTTAATGCACTTGAACTGTTGATATTTTCAGCTAGCATCTCGCCATCCAACTCGAACGCGTCAGCAGCTGTCAAAAAAGAAAAACAACAACAAAAATCAAGACGGAGGCCAACCACTGGATGAACCACCGACAAAATGTGTTTCTCGTAATTGGTTTTGGTGTTTAGATTTTACTTTATTTGGAAGCGACGCTTTACAAAGGTTTCTTTACAATGTGTACCCTAAAAAGTCGGGCGGGTGGGTGTGTGGGGGAGGGGGCTGTAGCAATTGGGTCCAGAATGCTTTACGCTAAGAATACTAAGAGTGTATAAGTGAGTGTGAGTGTGTGTGTGTTTTTGCGGTTGGCAGCATTTAGAAGGTAAACGGCTTGGCAGGCTTGTTGTAATTGTAGCCATCGGGTCCCAGCGAGCCAGCGTCTGTGGGTGGTGCAGGTGGTGCCGGTGGGCGTGGCTGGTAAGTGGGCGGTGCGGGAGGACTAGGAGGAGGACCATAGCCAGGAGTAGGTGCTGGAGGAGCTGGTGGAGCTGGAGGGCGTGGCTGATAAGTGGGCGGTGCCGGGAGGACTAGGAGGAGGACCATAGCCAGGAGTAGGTGCTGGAGGAGCTGGTGGAGCTGGAGGGCGTGGCTGATAAGTTGGTCCGGGAGGGGGCACATAGCTGGGTGTGGGTGCTGGTGGTGCAGGTGGTGCGGGTGGACGTGGCTGATAGGTGGGTGGTGCCGGTGGACGTGGCTGATAGGTGGGCGGTGCTGGTGGGGCAGATGTCGGTGGTCGTGGCTGATAGGTGGGTGGTGCTGGCGGACCAGATGGGGGCAAGTACTCAGCGCCAGGTTGCTGCGGGCGTGGTGGCTGGGGGCTTGGTGGTTGGGGACTCGGCGGCTGAGGTGGCGGACCATAATCTGGGCGTGGCTGAGGTGCTGGGGGACGCTGAGGAGTGGGGCGTGGCTTAGGCGGCTGCGGCTGATCAGGCGGCAGGTATTCCGGGCCAGCAGGAGGTGGTGGTGGAGGTTGAGTCTGAGGAGGGCCATAAGATGGACCAGGAGCCGTAGGCTGTGGCTGTGGCTGCGGACGCGGTGGTTGTGTTTGCGGTGGTCCATACGAGGGACCAGGAGCCGTGGGCACCGGTCGTGGTGGTGGGCGTGGTGGTTGGGTTTGTGGTGGGCCATAGGAGGGACCTGGTGCAGTTGGCACAGGCTGCGGTGGAGGACGTGGTGGCTGCGTTTGCGGTGGTCCATAAGATGGACCAGGAGCAGTGGGCACGGGCTGCGGTGGTGGGCGTGGCGGCTGCGTCTGCGGCGGCCCATAGGAAGGGCTGGGCGCTGTTGGCACAGGCTGCGGTGGTGGGCGCGGCGGCTGCGTCTGCGGCGGGCCATACGATGGTTCCGGTGCCGAGGGAGCCGGTCCGGGAATCAAGCCCGAGTCCTCAATGCCATTGCCCGTGGGCGGCGGCGGAAACGGCTGCGACGGCTGCTTGTAATGATATCCATCCTCTCGCAAATCCGTGTCCAGATGCGAGACATCCGCTGAGACGCCGGCCGCAGCTAGCGCCGCCACCAGGGCCAATAGAAGGCGCTGCGAGAGGAACAACAAGACGACAAATGAAAACCCTGATCAAGCCGCGAGCACAGCCTCTGTCCACTCACCATGCTGGCTGAGAGATTGGTCGCGGCTGCGCACAGTCGAGCGAAGACTGGAAACGAAACACCAAATGTGAGGCGAGCGATCGAGCGAGCGAACGAACTAACGATCGATTGACTTGGAAACTGGACACTGGGTGCAGAGCGAAGCTGGCGACGTCTTCGTTGCAAAATCTGAAAATCGAATGATGCCCAAATGTTCTCCCTTGGCGAATTTATACCACAGCAGCCCCTACGCCAGCTGAGCGGCTCAGTGGATGGGGGCCCGCAAATGCTTTTCACTCGGCTAACGAGTTTCGACTCGACGAGACGAGACGAAGCGATGCTTGGCTCAGGCGGCGTCATCGTCGTGATGCTGCAACCTTTGTTAGTTATAGTAGTTGCTGTTGTTGTTGCTGTGCTTGTTGTTGTTGTGCTAGCTATTACTATGCCTGGTAATCATCGACGATTGTAAGTCAATAACAACGCGTACCAGTTAGTTTTTATTGAAGTGCTTAGGGTTTTTATGGCGCTCGGCCCTGGTTAGAAGGTGTTAAACAGGAACCACACAACCATCCAGCTGCTCATCATCAGCACAGATATAAATATATATATATAAATATCAATATTATATAGACAAATCAGCGATGCGTGGGTGCGAAATACCTTAGCATTTGCATATTTTTAGTTATTCGTGAATCATAGCCAAAGTTGGCTAAACAACCAAATCGTGCCTTCAATAAAACGGCAAATGCTTTGTGACATATCTCAGTCTGAGTATGAGTGTGTGTGTGTGTGTGTGTGTGAATTTACTGTTATTTATTATATTAGCCACAATTGTTTAGCTCATTCGAATTGACAGCCGCCCAGCTGGTGCATAAATACTCTGCCAATATCAATTAATTAATAAGCCAATTAGCTAGGCGGGTTACGCGGCGTATGCGCAATGTGCTGAACGCTAAGCGCTGAGCCAGTTTTTCGCTTAGCTCGAGTCGATTTAGTTTGTGTTTGAATACCCAATTGGCAGGTGCATGCATACAAATGGGTATATTGCTTATGGGTTGAAGTATGTAACGAGAGAGAGAGAGAGAGAGTGATAGAAAGAAGAGGAAGAGCGATAAAGAGAGTGGCGCATGCAACTCTATATAATACGAGGGTAATTTAAAAAGTTGTCGACGGAGTATTCTTCACCCTCTTTTATACGATATATGATAACATGTTTTTTTTCTATTTCAGATGATAAGGTATAAGTTATTTGTATATCGAAACGATATATATCGAACATATATATAAAAGCTTCTCCAAAATTCGAAAAATATCTATTGTTAGTATGCAATTTCTCACCTATAGTACATTACAGCATCTTAAATATTTATAAGAAATAAAATAAAACAAAAACAAAATATAATTCAAATTAAAAATATTAAAAAATAATATTTCGAAGAGGATAAATATTTTGTTCAATAAATTTGCTGCCATGTCAAGCATGTGTATAGGGTATTCACAAGTCAGTCTCACGCCAGCTTGTATGTGTGTTTGTTTATTATTTTTGTTTTTTTATTAATTAACTTTGCATTTTTATTGGTTTTCATGTTGTTTGGCTTTGCTGTGGTGTACTGTCTACAGGCTTCAGTGTTCAGTGTGCTGTGTTACTGTGTGTTTACTGTGGCTTTTCATGTTTCATTTTTCTTTGCTGTTTGTTTTCTGTTTGCATTTTACAATTGAAATCTTTTGAGCTTATTTTTATTTTATGGCAATTCATAGTTTGTATTTTTGGCTGTTTGCTGTGCGTGAAGCATTTACAAATTGTGTTTAGTTTGTAATCTTAAATACGTTTGCTTAACTGTCTAACATAACAAGTTGAAAATACTCTCGCTGTTCTCATTGTTCATTGCGACTTAAACTAAACCAATTCTATTATTCATTAGTCGTACATTTTAATAAATAAAACATTTGCACAATTCCGCTAGTCGATTTTGTTTTTGTTTTTGTGTTTCTTTTTGTATTTCATTTAGTTGCGATTTATTAACTTTGTTTTGATTTGTGTTTTTTTTTAGTGAATTCTATGCCTAAATGTCGAAGCTTTAATGAGATAATTGTTTTTATTAACGTTTATAGTTGGTAAAATTTGCATTTGCCAATTCGTGTTTTTGTTTTTTCTTTCTTTACTTTTCTATTAAATATTAAAATCTAAAAATCCGCTTAAATCGTTTTCGTTTTCTTTTTGTTTTTTATTTTATTTTTATTTTTTATTGTTGCGTTTGCAATGTTTAACCTTTTAGTTGTGTGCCCAGTTGAGTGGAGCGTTGTGTGGCTTTCATTTTTATTTATTTTCCACGATAGATCTCAATAATGCGATCCTGATCGACATACTCGAAGATATGTGGCGCATCCATCAGTATGCCAATGGTGCCCGCCGTGGTCACTATGAAGAAAATATACAGCTGCAAGCGATCGATCACCATGGCCACGTACTTCCAATCCTCGCGTGTCTGTGAAGAGAGTTGAAAGTCGAAAATTGAAAGAGTTATGGGTGTTGAAACAGTTGAGAAAGTTTAAGGAGTTGAAGGAACAGTCGAAAATATTAAAGAAGTTAAAACCCTTGAAAATGTGAACAAGTTGAAGCAGTTGTAAGTATTAAAAGAATTGAAAAAATTGAATTGATTGAAAGTGTAGAAGAAGCTGAAACCCTTGAATAAATAGAATACATTGAATTGAAAGATCTGAAACAGTTGAAGGTGTTAAAAGAATCGAAGAGATTGAACCAGTGGAGAGAGCTATAAGTGTTGAAGGAATTTAAAGAGTGGAAGCAGTTAAATAAGTAAGAAAACAGAAGAACAGTTGAAGGAATTGAAGCACTCCCAACTGCAATTGAAAGTGCTTAAGGACTTGAAACAGTTTATGGAATAAAGTTATAAAAATATAAATAGGGGAAGTCGATGAACACAAAGATGACAAAATTCGTATAAATAACACATTTTAAGCATAGAAAACCATTCAAGCAACATCCACACTCCACTCACCTGTATGTAGAGATCTTCGTTGCGCAGATGCTCGGCAATAAATTCGACCGCCTCCGTTGCCTTGCTGGCCTCGGGCGAGAGCAGTATGGAGTCGGAGGACTCGCTCTCGCGGCGACAGCCATCGCCCAGGCCGAGCTCGGCGCCGCTGTTCACCTTGCGGTTGATCTTGCAATTGGGATGATGCAGATCGGACAGCTCCATCACTTCCATTTTGGACTGCTTGCCGCCAATAGCGCTGATATGCTTGGGCAACTCGGCGGGCGAGCCGTACGAGGGATGCGGATGGGCGGGCATGCTCATGCCGGGCATTTCCATCATCCAGCGTAGACGGGTTTTGCGCGGACGCTTCATTAGCAGAAAGGCGGGCAGATAGTGCAGGAACACCGAACGTATCCACATGGGCATGCGATGAGTGCGCGGTCCACGGAAGTTCCAATTGATAATGATGACCGTGACCAGAATGGACACCGTGTTCATGATGAAGGTGAACAGCAAGTACTTGGCGATCAGCGGCAGCACCAGCGACGTGGGTGGCAGGATCTTTGACACAAGCAACAGGAACACAACCAGTGACAGCAAAATGCTAATGCCCAGCGTGACCTGCGATCGAAATACACATATATAAGCAGATAAACCAAGTCACATCGAATCAGTTCCACTTTACCTTCTCCCCCGCCTCCGCAGGCAAATAGAAGACGAGCACGCAAAGGAATGAGATCAGCACCGTGGGAAGAATCAAATTGACCGTGTAGAACAGAGTTTTGCGTCTGATAATAATGTAGAAAGTGATGTCCGTCTCGGTTGGATGATTGCTGTCGCCCTCGTAGACATTCAGGTAGGCGGGCACTTCGATAATATCCCAGGTGCCAGACTTCCAATAATCCGACAGATCCACAAAGTTCTTATTGTTGTACAGGGCCAGCGAGACCTGATCGCCATTGAACGTCCACGAGCCGAACTTCATGATGCACGTCTGCTGGTCGAACGGGAAGTAGGTGACATCGATGGTGCAGGAGCTCTGGTAAATGGCCGGCGGCACCCACAGCACCTCGCCCGTGGGATAGATCAAGACGTTGGACTTGTAGCGCACCTCGTAGTTGCCATCGGCGCTGGATGTGGGGAGAATGAGAGATGGATTAGTGGCTGGTATGGAAACAGACTGAACTCCTAAGTACAGTAAACAACCAAAATACATTGTACAGTAGATTATATATATTTATTTATATATGTATATAGAGAGAGAGATAGAGATGTTGGACAGTTTTTGGCAGAGTTGAATTAGTAGAGTTAAAGCCATTTACTCACTTATTGAAGAGCACAATATCCGGCTTCCAAACCTTATCCGGGGGCAGTCGCAACACCCCGATTCCGCCGTAGTCAGCCTCATCCCATTGCAGCTGATAGTCGTACCAAACCAAACGTAACCAAACGTTTGATTTCATAATTTGATTTTTCTCATTCTTGGTTTCAATTCAATTTCATTTCGATTTTCGAATAAGTTGATTTTTGATTGAGATTTTTTTTTTTGTGATGATGGTGGTTGGTTGGTTGTGGTGATGGTTTAGTGGTGGTGGTGGTGGTTGTATCAGAGAATCGATCGTTCAATACGCATTACGTTGCGTATGCGTAACATATATATTTTTGTATATGCATAGATATATATGCAGGTATATATTATATATATATTTGTGATTCGAGCGAATCAATGCGAATATATATTTGTTTGGTCAGAGAGAGAGAGACGCATTTCAGAGAGAGAGAGCGGGTGGGAAGGTTAAGTTAAGACATTATTTGCATTTGTTCTTGTTGTTGTTGTTGTTTGGTATATATAAAGTTTTGTTAGTTGTTAATTGTTAAGAATGCAATCAATTGTTTAGTTTACATTTGTTGTTAGTTTAAGTTGTTTTTTTTTTAAGTAGATAGTAATCGTAATTATGCTAGGCATGAAGTTTCACTACAAACATACAAATACAAAGTCAAGGCAACACACGTGTAATTTTTAAGTATTTACAAAGCATAAAACCAAAACTCAACGAAATTTGGCTGGCGGGCTAGCCACGCCCACTGATTCGACATACTCGATATATACCATAGATATGTACATACATCGCTATATATCTATGGCATGTGCATGCGTGTAATGGGGGCGGGGGGCGTGGCTGGGGCGCACTGTGCGTTTTTTGGCAGCAACAAAACTCAAGAATTAGTATTATTATTATTATTTATGGAACAGTTTTTACACGCTACTAATAAGTTAGTATTTTTGTATTTTGGTATTTTTTCTATTATTTGTGGTATTTAGTAATTTTAGTTTTTTTTGGGTTTTTGTTTTAATTTTTGATTGTTATGGAACACTTACGACATTGATTAGCTGTACGAACGCCAAACCAAATCTTACTCCAACTTTTTGTGTCATATTTTGTACGGGTCGTATGAGTTTATTGTAGCCTCGAAAGAGGTCACGCACCAGGCGCTCTTCGTCTTCGGATGCACTGACTAAAAAAACACAAAACAGAAGAATACACACACAACCAAAAAATGTCAAATAAAACAGGAAGAAGAAAAGGAAACCCAAGTAAACAAAAATGAGAATCCAAATTATAAGCATAAAGAAATGAGGTAAGAAGAAGACACAGAATAGGAAAAAACACATAACAAACATATATGAGCACAATTTTTCTTTCTTCAATGTTTGTTTTAGTTGTTGTAGTTTGTTGTTTATGTTTCAAATGAGAGACAGAGAAACAGATAGATAGATAGAGATAGAGAGAGAGAGAGAGAGAGAGAGAGATGGCAAGCCGAAGCTCGTCTTTTGTTTTTTGACTAGTTTATAGAGTTAGAGACTTAACGCCGATTCTTTTAAAAGCTTTCAACTAGGGAAAATTAAAGATGACATTGTTGTTGTTGTTGTTGTAGTTGTATATGGTGTTGTTGTGCTTGGTTGTCTGTTTGGAGCCTACGTTGCGTATACGCCGCTTGTGACGCCATTGCACTCAGCAGCTGTGCGCGCTCGAAACGAATTGCCAGAAGCAACTTCCAGCCCGCACAGTGTTCTCTGTAATGCAAGGACCTCTTTCGATAATTTACAGTCCTAGAGCTAGTTACAATAACGGTGCGAAACGGGTGTGCTCGACTAGGGGGCTGTCCTGCCACTGCGCTACATATATATATAAAGGAACAACTCTAAAATGCTTAACTAGATGACAATCGCTGACAGCTAAGTTTATCCGACAGCTAAAGAGACGAGAGAGAGAGGTAGTGAGAGAGCGAAGCAGAGAGAGTTTCTGTTCGCTCTCTCTCTCTCTGCTGACAGCTGAGCAGAGCCGCACAGCACATGAGCAGAAAACTGGGATGCGAATGCTGCATGGCAATGTCTCTGCTATATAAAGGTGTGTGTGTGCGTGTGTGTGTGTGTGTGTGTGTGAGTGTGTGACCGGGTTATGCTTGTGTGTTATATAGAGCACAAACAGCAGCTGCCTATATCTTCTATATGTATGTATGTATATACATATGTTATACGTTTGTCTATAGGGTATTCGCAGAGTTTCAAGTTGCAGTTAAGCTATTTATTTTGATGGGCAGGAGCGGAGCGAGGGAAATTTATGAATGTGGGCACTTATGTTTGCATGTATGTATAAATGTTTTTAGGTGTGTGTGTGTGTGTGTGTGCGATTGTGTGTGTTGGCTCTAAGTACACACCGCATTTTGGGGCTTCTGCTTTGCACTAGGTATGTCTAAACACTTACGGACTACAGATAGATTGATTCCTAGATATATTCGCTAGATTGGACTGCTCAGAACAGAAGGAGTATGAATTAAGATTCGGCAGTTGATACAGAAATCTGTTTGTTTTCATTTTGTTTTCTCGGTTTTTGTTCATTTTCAGTTTCAATTTCGATTTGGTTTTCATAGATATTTTCGGTTGCTTTTCATGTGTATCCATCTGCTATGCTTGGCAGTACAAAATTCATAATTTGATTCGTTTTGATGGTGGAAGGGAAAAAGTTGTTAATTACAAAAGCAGAGATGGGCTAAAAAGTTTGGCTAAGATTAGGTGGATTGGTATGAAAATAGTTGCTGATTAGAGTAGTTAAAAGTTAGGGTATAGGAATTAAAGAGTATATAGATAGAGTATGCTATAGCATTA